CAGATGATGTACATACATTAAAACAAACGCTGGATTAAATCAACAGGATTGAAAATAATGCTATTCATAAAAGGTAGAGTAGTATATCGGACAAGAGATAAGAGTGAGATAAGAGTTCATTAAAAAGACGAATAATAATTTCAATATCAAAATGTTCTCAATCCCTATTGAATTATTTGTTTTAACAAATGATTAACTAATTAAATTGAATTCATATTTGTATAAGGTCAATAATATTATGATTGGATTTTAAGTTCCATAAAAGAAATACTTATTAACACAATGCATCAAACTCTATATTTTTACAAACATGTTAATACTATTTTATTTTTAAAAATGTCTCTAGTTCACTAAATATCTGTCATTTTTACTTCAAAATTGAATTATTTTTTTTGTTAAAACCATTAATGCATTGAACAATATTGATCATTGATCAGTGATTGAAATTTTATTCCCATGTGGTGGTCACAAATTTCAAAACAAAAATCTGAACTTGACAGAATGCGTGTGTATACTTTTCGCTTTTTTGTTGTTGAGATAAAAAAACAAACACAACTAAAAACTGTTGTCTGATTCATCAATCAATTGTTTGAACATATTCTTTTTTTTAAAAAAAAAATCTCCATCAAACAACAAACTTTTAATTTACTTACTTATTCTCCCTCTTTTTCATTTCATTTCATACACTTTACTAAAACACACAATCACTTTCCGATCAAGCACTCTTTTGTGTTATTTTTTAAATTTCACAAACAAAGTTTATGATTATTATTATTATTATTACTAGTTTGAAGTAGTTTAATGAGAATTACAGTTACAAATTTTTGAAGGCGTATAACTGTGTGTGTGCGTGCTTCATGGATAACATGTTGTTTCAATTGAATGATAATCAAGTAAATATCACGATCAACTGTGTTTTACACTTAGTAACTAAGCGCTCTCAAAATAGAAAAAAATTGACAACATCAACAGGATGACGAATAACAACAACTTCAGGAAGGATTATTTTCTTTATGAGCTTTCCATCTTACAAATATCTTAGAATTTTTTCAAAAAATAAAAAATACACGTGACATTGATAGTGAAATATTAGACATTCATCACTTGTTTCTGTTTTTCACACTTAATTATAGATACACACATAACTTTTTTTTGTATCTAGGCCTCTGTGATTGTTAGTTAGGATGTATGTAAGAAGTTGTCGCTTTTTGGTAAAAAAATGTATTTTTTTATGTGTTCAACCTCTATATACATGATCAATGCATTCGATTTGTTTAACATCGGATCGCTTCATGATATAGATAACCATGTATATATGTACACATATTTTATTGACTTTGTCTATAAAAATTTTCTCAGATCATAAATCCATGCTACAAGGGTAGATGATATTCCTCCAGTGTACAAGTGTAAATTATAGATTTGTATTTTTATACAGTATTTTTAGACAATTTATGATAGTAATATGTATAGATGAATTGTTTTAGTTTTTAAAAACCAATAAAAAAAAATTTATTCTCAAATTTTAGAACTACAGAGACTACACACAGAGATTATTATCATCTATCTTAGCAACTGGATATGAATATTATTATTATTAGTTTGTGAATAATGCATGATAACTGCATGCATAAACTTCAGTTAAATACATGTAAACGATCTAGATTAGATTATTCACAGTATTTGATTTTTTTAAACCGAAGAAATAGTTTGAGTGATAATTGAATATTGAACAAGTAAATCTTTGAAATAATTCACTATTGAAAAGTACACAGTGGTCATATTGATAAGGCTATTATATCCAATCTTATAAAATACACTAAAATATTTTCAGTAACAAAGGAACATGCTAAGGAGTCCTAGTAGTAGGACGAAACAGCCTTCTAGTGCTTCCGAATTTTTAATAGTGATCTAACTGAAATCAATCTGTGGTTTCAACTATGACAATAAATTACAACTGAATATTGAAATTTCTATGGTTCAGTTTATTGATTTACATGTTTTGCATTCTAAGTGTACTGTTATAAAATAAATACTAATAATTTCAATAGATATAAGTGTATTCCAATATATTCAAAAATAATAGGACAATATTCTTAAATGAATAAACTTAGAATTGTCTTCCATAAATTCCATTATTGTTTTGATCTTATGTTATCATTAAACAAATGAATAAGAGTAAACTATTCGATTTCGGTATATATTCTATCTAATAATGAAATTATTCGTTTAGGTTAAACAGAAATGTTGTTAGAATGAATTTTCATGTTCTTGAATGAAAAGAATGAACGCTGATTTTCTTTCGGAAAGAAAACACACAACTATTTAGGTGTATTTATTTGTATTTGGAAGTGGATTAAAGCTAAGTATGGTATACATCTAGAATTAATGACTTTTAACTAATTGGTTATATAGTTAAGCCCGTTTTACTTCATTCTGAGTAGCTGACTACTACCGATGACACATACACGTTTAAGTAGTGAATTTTGTCTGAAGTATGCGCTAATAGCGTAGTCTGAAAATAACAATGAAAGGTTAATAAATTATCTGTGAAAACAGGTAATTTGAACACATCAGTTTAAAAGTAAATAATACTTTTCAGTGAGGTCCAATTTTGACTATATCGTAAGATATTTGTATTTAAGACATCGACATCGAGGTCCGCATTAAAATCACCGTAAATAACTACCTACAATGAAGTAATATTAACCAGATAATTCGTTAGATCTGAGGGCTCCAGCAACACTGATTGTTCAGCACTCAAAGAAATTACTATCATAATATATGGAAAGCAAATAGTAGTAGCAGACATTATTCGGTTATGAGAGTCAGCTAGTTAAGACAGGATCTCTTCACTTATCTATATAACGTATAAAATCTTCAAGAATAAAAATTATTTGACATATGGAAGTGTTTATGAAGAGTGCTTCTGGTGAATCTGTCAACAGATATCTAACTGTTTCACATGTTGTTCTCCTCAAACACTTTTTGTAAACTGACCAGTTAGTGGTGAATAAAGAAGAATACACTACTGGTACTGAGGGATGAAACCAAATGATATGGCGGTTGATAAACTAGTTCAAGTAGAACTGAGATGAACAAAGAATGTCATCACCTAATATTAATTGTTTCTTTGGTATTGAAAAGGGGAATCGAAATTTCTGAAGAATCTTAACTTTCACCATGAGGCTTTTTATTTCTTGATATCCTAGAACAGATATCAAATGGTTTGAATGATATTTTGCGGTTATCGTCTTTTTAACAAGGTTCTTTTCGGAGATAACAAGTTAATAGTTCTATCTTCACTCCTCCTCCTTCAGTCAGGTTTGGAAGAAACAGTGATTCTAGAATAGTTCCCAGGAGAAATTTTACATCACTAACTATGAGCTAATTACGTTTAATTAATGTAAAAATATCATCCACAAGTGTTGAATATCTATCTAGTTACATGCATTGCTAAGCGTTGTACTTACAGTTAACTGGCCCCGTCTTTAATAAAACTTACAATTTAAATTTTTTTTAAGGCGTCTTCTATAACATGAACTTAGTATCTTGTTGTCTGTTGTCAAAGATCATCCGACAAAAATGTTGATTAGACACAAATACACATTGGTATTAAATAGCGAGGGAAAAGAAAACACACTTAACAGCATATGAATATGTATATATTTCTCCAGTCCAATTTAGAACAAGTGAATTATTTATCATATTTTGTTGAGGTCATTTTAACAAATAAACAAAGCCTTTTCCATAATATTTTCGAAAATTACCAAATTATTTATAGGTGGATGAATAAATATTTATTTACTTACACAATGCCAAGAAAAACACATGGTTCAAAGTGTTGTTGACATTTTTCTAATCGTTCGTTTATTTTTTTTAATAAAAAAGTTGTATGAATGCATTCTTGTTCTGGCTTTAAGCGTACAAAATAGTGCAGTTAGCAGTCTGTACAATTAATTACATGTACAACTGAAATCATGAACTGATCATAGTTGGATCAGTATTATAAATATGAAAGCACTGGATCGTGGTTTCTTCTTAGGATGGGACTCATCAACAGTGTATATTCATGACTGCGCTAGCGGGAATCGAATCCACAATCTTATAATGACAACTATTATTTGCTCACTAGTGATTAAATTCATGAGGGAATTCTCGGAGTTTCAGTAAGAAGTTGTGATCATTGGAATTTAGCCGTATGTGGCTACCCACCGAAGGCAATGAATGAGGTTGCTCAATATTATGGATTGATTGAAGTTAGACATGAATACCATTGTATGACGGCCCAATGGCCTAGACGTTACATGTTCGTGAGCCAGATTGAACGTACTAGGTTCGATTCCTGCTTGTAGGATCATGAATGAGTCTTATACTAGGAAAAGATGGCTGTCCAATGTTTTTAGGTTTCTAATGATGGTCTAACATAGATGGATTCATGATTTCAATGAAACTCAGTCATCTCCGTTACGTTTGAATACTAATCACACATACTTTAACGTGAAGTGTGAATGTCTAGCAATGTAATAAACATTAGATATCTGCTGGAATAGCTGAATATTAACTTACCAATTTGTGATATTTGATCATTTTAAGTTCATGTGTAAAACTACAAAATGACTGAAAAGCGATAGGAAAATGGTTAAAATTGAAATATAGTACCGATTAATCAGATCAAAAACTTACATATTACTTAAGAAAGTCCTATCAACAACTAGTAGAATTCAAGAGTAAATAATAATAAGTATAAACACTTTAAAACAATTGTCGAATGTTGCTACTACAATATTGACAAAGTTAAAGGTTATTGAAACATTTAATCAGTGTTAAATCATTGAAAAATTGAAACACGTTATACTTACCGTATTATTTATTGATAAACAATATTAAAATTAAATATTTTATAATTAAAGAAATTTTAATGAAACAATTATTCAATTATCATATTATTATTTTGTTTATTTTTTCCTCTGTATTTCTCTTAATCAAATATTAAATTAATGAAATTCAAGAATTTCGATTTATATTCAACTCATAAATGTGGATCAATCAATTGTGAATGTAAAACATTCCAGCCAATTTTAAACAACATACGTCAATGTACCAATTGTCATCATTCTTGGACTTTACATGGTAAGTAATGAATTCTGTTAAACATTAAATATATTCATGAACAGAGTGTTTTGTATGATTTCATGGGAATTGTTTTCTCTGTTGATGTGATTATTTATTTTAATTTTTTTTTGACGAGATAACTAAAAGTAATGAGTAATTATTTTTCACAATTATCAATTATTAATAAATAAGAAAATAAATTATTAATTTGTTTAACAATCTGTTGAGAAAACCTAGCTGAATAAACAAGTCTTTAACAAGACAAGTTCACACTAAATAAACACAGTATTATTGACTATGAGTATGGAAAACTCAGTGCTTTAAGTGGTAATTCGAGAAGTGAATAGCTTAGCATTTATAACACTGTAAAACTCTGTAATGTATATTGGAATCTGACAGAAAGTTTTAACAATGAAGATTACAAATATGTCTTCTGGACGAGTATGAATTAGCATAACGTTCAAGATCGCCCGTCACTTGACTACAGATAAATAAAGCTGGAACACAATTAAGGATGATTTGTAAATAAAACTTTGAAATCTATATAGAAATGACATTCAGTGATTAATTACAAGTACTGTATTGTCAACTCCTAAACTAAACACTATTAGTATTGTTTAAGGTGATTATGCAAGATTCGCTTGAAGAAGTATTTACTTAATTTACAATTTTTCGTTAACATTTGGTTAGTCAGTCAGTCAGTTACAACGTAGAACTTTGTACGTAAGTACATCAGTTCAGGTTGCTATACCTCATTAGCACAGAGACGCCAGTGTCACTTCAAATCCCATAGTAATAAAGGTAGTAGAAGTAGTAGCAGTAATCGGAAAGATTAGAGTTCGAGAAGCAGAAGTAGAATCTAGTGAAATAAACTTAAAAATTAAAAGATGAATGTGATGAGGAATTCAGAAGGTTAGGATTTGAGAGAACACAAAGAATGAATGCACTTGCGCTATTGCAAACGGTTTTGAGCCATATCATTCAGGGTCTCCGAGTGTTAATATTTGATAACTTTTCTTAAAATTTCATACATATTAGTCTATGGTGAACACCATTTTAAACAGTCTATTTATACAATATTTTTTTCCTAAAATTCTAACTTCAAACGTAGACTGTTTCGCCTAATCGATCAATACATGTTTTCACAAATTTCTAAATAGTCGCTAAATTCAAAAAAGAAAAAATAAAGTTAAACATTAAAATCTGCTTTTCTTTTTCCACTTTCTGTCTAATTTACAAATATTTTTATGTACCACGTAAAAGAAAAAAATATATATGTATATGTGATGTCGCATATCTCGTTCAATTTTATGTCTTTTCTTGTCCATCTACTACTATTTACACCTTGAAGCCCAACAAGAAGGTTAGTATGACAAAAAGCACAAAACTCCTATTGTTATAAATGGTAAATATTGGTAATATTTTAAAGAAAGTTTATTGACTCATTAGTAGTACTAGGCATTTAGATCATAAACACATTGGATTCTCTATTAGATTGTATTCAACTAAATTAATGAAACCAATGGAAAAGACATAAGAACATAAAATAATAGTCTCAGTTAAAATAAATTACTAGTAACAGCTTCAATATTGATAATCAAGCATGATAGTAATAAAAATTTTTCTAGGACAACAGTTAAAACACATAATGTCTTTCTTACTATTGAACACTGAATGGAAGGTGTACGAAAAAAAGGAGTATTATTGACTAGATGATAATGATGATGATGTGAATGTTTTGTCAATTTCTTTTTTTTATTTGCGGAGACTAATGATGGTTTACTAATGAATGAAGGGAGAGAATTTGAAATAAAAGAAGAGAAATGAAAGGGATAACTGATTGTAAATAATAATAATAATAATCATGATGATAGTATTGATTATTTCTTACTAGATAGATAGATAATAATATATTGACACAGCCAGTTCTACTATACATAAGACTGATGTATGCAATTTCGTCCACAAGGTAAAATTGTCAATAAATTGAAGGGAATGTATACACTATCTATCTATGTACACCCACATAGATTGAACATATGTGTACAGGTAAAAGAAAATTGGACATACATACATATTTATGTGTTAATCAACTGAACTGGTCAATCAGTTAGTTAGTCAGGTGTGTAAGAAAACAAATTTCATTCATGACACATGCAACTAGTTTTTTTCTAGTTAATGGTCACCAATTTAGTATATAATAAGTTAATTGTTAAATTACTCTAGGCACTATTATTATGAACAATATAGATGTATTCAACATTTTCGTAATTAAACATGAATGATAGAATGAGCTATAAAAAACCAGAAAAGCAATACTAAGAACATATAGATTATAGTTAGCGGTGGAATCCAAAATATTTAGTTTCATCTTAATCCGAACATGTCAGTTGAATGTGCTTTATATTCCAGCGTTGATGTTCACATACATCAGGACTTTCGTTTTAAATAACTAATCTGCTAAGTCGTAAAAGTCACTAAATTGTCCATCGATTCTAAGTAGCACTCGTCACAAAATAGTTCTATCAAGTTAGTCTTGTCCACTATGCGCATAGGGCAACAGAAAATTTTATCTCTGAAATTTAATCATGGAATAAAAATTTAATTCTTGTTATGTAAATCAATGTAAATAGATTTATTGTAAACGTCTAAATCCCTTTTGTAAAGTTAAGTAAAAAAATAATTTCTGTTTTTAATAATTGTAATATGTAACAGTCAATAAACCGGTTTTGATAATATCATGGTATAACACGGATGAATTAAATTGAGATATCTAACGCGTTGATCTACTGGTGAAGTACCTCTTGTCAGATCTGAAGGTCTAACATTTAAATTAGAGAAGGGAGAAGTTGAAGAAAAGCACTAATGGAGAGTTGAATAATAGACGAAAATAAATTTTCAGTTCTCCCTAAGGACTATCAATCTTTTATTTCCAAATGACACCAACTATAAACCACTTTCAATATTAACTAACCTTCACAAAAATTACAACTTTAAATTGTAAATCATTTGGAACCATAAAATTGAGCCGAATAAAGTGCAACTGTTTGTATTGAGTAACCAATATCTTCAATCGTAAAGGAACTGAGAGTTAGAAAGTTCGATACACTAACTTTTTGAAACTTATTACCATGCTGTAATTAGTTTGTCGGTGATTTTAAACTTAATCTAGTTGATAGGTGAAATGAAATTCGATTTGTTCATAATGTATTTGACACTGAATGAAATTTACCTGAATTTCTAAAATAAATATTTCCTCACTAATCGATCATTTTTAAAAAAATAGTCAAAAATAGACTATCGAATTCTACTGAGTAAATCATGATGTTAAATAGCTGAAAATATTTAACAGGTCTAGAGTTAGTTAGCATTGGTTGATACTCGTCAGTACTGTCTATCTGAAATCTTCATGCAATCAATATTCCCGGCTGGATGTGAGCTTGAACTACGGAGTGTCATAGCTAGTGAATATTTGAGCCCTCAAAACTGAAATATTTACACACGAGCTGATTCATTGAATATTGGTTTTGATGAAACATTTATCTTGGTTTCTGAAGGTCTGAAATGAGTTTTAGAAATTTAAAAACTATTTATCTGTTTAAATATTGGTTCTCTTTCTATTAACACTCACAAACGCGAGATGATTTTAAATATGAAAAAATTCTAGTAATTCCAACCTTCTCTTCTCCTCAAGTTTATCATTTCAACAACTGTGATAGCGCAGTGGATACACGCACACAAAATACATGCAACTCCGCACTGGACTGAACTCATCACCTTTAAGTCAGAAAACATTATTTACCTCATTGAAATCATGAACCAATCAAAGTTGAACTGTCATTGAAAACCTAGGAGCACAGGATGGCCGTTTCATTCTTATCTGGGACTCATCAGTGTGCATCTACGGCGCCGCAAAGAGGGACTCGAATCCAGAACCTTGATCCTCGCGTCTAGTGCTTCCAGGTTTTCAGTAGTGGTCCAACATTGGTCGGTTCATGAGTTCAATGGATCTTAATAATCACCACAACTCTATTCCGGTAAAATTATCATTGTAAATTTTTTTTGTCATATTAAAAACACCGATATATGAGCAAAGAATATTCGTCTTCAATAAATTCACTACAGGTTTTACTGTTATAAATCCAGAGTTAATTATTTATCTCTCTCAGGTCTATATTTATTCTGATCAGTAATCTTAAAATTTCATCTAATCGAAAAACTCAATACTGAAAAATTCACCATTTCAATGTTAACAAATTTTTACGCACAATTCTTAGTTTATATCCTACAATTTTAAACAATGTATATTTGCCTTAAACCACTAACCATTTTTCTATTTCAAAATATCGTTAGAGCATTTGGTTATGTAATCTAATGAGGGATCTATCACTAGGTTCTAGAACTTTGAAAAAAACAAATCCTTCTTTAGCTAATTATAATGTGTTTAGAGATTTGGATCAAGTTTCTTAATTAGAAAAATACAAATATTATTAGATAAAGTACACCCTTTTTTAAAATATTACTTGCATAAGGTCAAGGGTAATATCATGTTTTATTTCATTTGGTACACTCTCCTTTTATAATAACATTCACATTGTGACATTTTGTGAAGAAATTATCAATGAAAGCATAATTGTTTTGTAAATAAGTGTATTTAATAATAACTGAATACACTATTTTTTTATTTATTTGCGTTTAGAATAAATCTCTGCACTTAGCCAGATCAGTTCGGTCTACAATTATAACATTCGTTTGTTTCATTGAAGTGCAGTAATTATCTCACTGGTAACATTGATAATTTAACTTTAATTATCTTTTCTAATCATGTAATTTTTTTTGTTTTGTTTTGGTAATTAGTTCTTCCAAAATTGGCAAATTCACCAGGAGGATATTATGAATTGAACAATTCATCAAATGGCACGATGTTGAATGCAACTTTCGAATTGTTAAGTATGTCATTGTTTGGTTGTCAAGCGATACCAATGCGTATAAAAATTCTGCTGGATCGTTTATTATCTGGTCAACTGGCACATGCTGATGTAGTTCGATTATTGTTAACCTTTGGTTGGTCATTTCAAGATTACAGTCGTGGTTATATGTTAACTGTAAGTTTCGTTTCTTTCTTTTGACATTAACTGATTTTTCAATCTTGCAAAGATGATTTATTGAAATGAACATTAATTATGGGATTTTTTTGTGATTGTGTAGTGTATCTTGTATTTAAATGGTTGTTGTAGGATCCAAACTGAGGTTTGGACTGAGGAATAACTGCCTTGCCCAGTTTAAAACCAAAACAACTGATGTGAGTAAATGACGGTTCTAATATTCATCATAAATGTAAATGTATATCATTACCTAAACAAATATTACACTTTATAAAATAGAGTGCTTCTTATTCTGGAAGAGTGCTTCAATTCACAATCAAAATTCACAATCCTAGTCAAAGCAAGCGACACAATCAAAAGAGGAATAAATCAATGTGGCTGTAACCATGACTAAGTATCAGCTTAAACAACATAAATGCAATTCAGAAAGAAACATAGAAACTCAGTGAAAGCAAAAGAAACAGAAACTATAATAAACTAGAAATATTATCATCTCAAACTGGAATCGAACAGACTTACAAAATGTACAACTGAAAGAATCAATAAGAACAAATTTCAAATGTATTTATGGAGGGATTTTCACAAACAAAGCCTTCAAAAATGGATCTAACAATTGTTTAGAGTTAAATTAAGTTCATAATGTGAACTGCTGTTGTTGTTGATGTGAATGATGTCTACTGTTTACCATCTATTGATCAGTTAAACTCTGAAATTTATTCATCACCGATGAATTGGTATAAAACCAGTTTATCATTCATTATCTCAACAAAAACTCATGTTATTTGAAATCATGAATCGATCAAATTTAGACCACCATTAGAAACCTGGAAGCACTGGATGGCCGTTTCGTCCTGGTATGGGACTCGTCAGTAGTGCGCGTCCACGAATCCTGCACCTCATGGGATTTCTTATTAGATATGCTTTTGGAAGTGAAATATTTAGTTCAGATGTTGGTGAACATTCAGTGACATATATACACACACATAAACTTTTTATGAATTAGTACTTTTTGTGAATTCGCAACAATTCTATACCCTAATAAATTCACATTGATTTGTGATAATGACTTTAAAACTATCTAAATTTGCTGCACTAATAAATTTAACCAATAATCAAATAAGATATTGGTTTTTTAAAAAAAAGACTGTCAATGATCAGCGCAATCCTCATGTTCGAAAATCAAATGGTGCATTTTTACACAGCTCCGCTTTAAGTCTTTGTTACTCTAATCAGAAAAGATGGAATTCTTTAAAGCCGAATATATTTCTTCTGTTATCAGATTTACTTGAATTAGGTGTGGTACTCGCTTGTATTTTTCATCTGACTGCATACAATTTTTATATCATACATATTCAGTGCAACTCAACTAGTGGTTTACTTTGCAATGTAACATAAAAATTCCTTTTTGAAATAATTCAACATCGTCAGTTGAAAATCACAAATAGTTTAGTGTCAGCCTTGTTTTGGTTTGTAGATTTTACATACTACCATTCACTTATAATTGCATCAAAGTTTCTTCGAGAATGTGCCAACAATTAACTGGTAACAATTTCTAAACTGAAGCAAATCATTTCGTTAAGCAGTTGTTCTATAATATTAAGATATAATTTTTATGTTTTTCACCAAAGAGTTGTGAAGATTGTTGAGTTTCAATGAAATCATGCGTTGATCATTGTTCAACTGCCATTAAAAACCTGAAAGCACCGAACGGCTGTCTTGTTCCAGTATGGGGACTCATCCGCAGTCCACATCTATTGTGGGCTGAGTGTATATTTTCGCATACCTCACGTTGGTTACCAATGATTTATCTACTATAACCAACTTATTTACAATAATATTTTAAAAATGTCAATTATTTTTTGATGATCAATGTTATAATTGTTTATTCTACATTTCACTTTTACTCAACTCTGTATTTTAGAATCCAAATGGCACGTTAAAAGATCATTGGGAGATGTGTAATTTAGATGAAGAAAATTTAATTATTCAACAATTTTTACGTTTTCCTGAAACTTGTCAACTAGCTTACTTAATGTTATCACAAGGATATACTCAAAAAATTTCAACTGGACTATCACATTTGAATCCAATAGTCAATCGAAATTTTTTACAATCAACCTTGTCAAGTCAATTATCACAATCGGTTGGTAATATGACAGCGGTTACTACTGGTAATAGTAATACTAATACTGTCACTTCTACTACGACTACTACCACTAATAATAATAACAATCATAACATTGGTAATGTTGATAGTATCAATGTGCATAGCGGTCAAACATCACCTGATCCAACTTATAAACTAAAATCTGATATAAAATCTGATAATATGAAATCACAAAATCACACTTTAGGATTATTATCTCCAACAATAACAGAAATCTCTCCAAACAGTACTAGAACATTGACAATTTCATCATTCTCCAATAGTTCCTCCTCGTCTGTTTCACCAATTCACGAGAATAAACAACGGAATGCAACTGGTACTATGCTCACTTCACCAAACAGTACAAATAATACTCCATATAGTAGTAATAGTAGTAGTAACAGTAATAGTAATAATAGTATGAAAAAGAATAAAATGCATCATACTAATACATTTTTAGAAATGACTAAAAATGATATAGACTTAAATCAAACATCACCACTATTGACACATAGAACAATGAACAATAAAAATGAAGGCAAACGATTGAAACCAAATGGAAATGAACAAAACTTTAATTTGTTTAAAGGAAATGATAATAACAGTAATCCATTGAATACTAACGTGAACAATATCATAAATAATAAAGACAATAGTAATAATAATAATAATAATAATAATGATAACAATTATCATAATCCATTTATTACTGCAATGGCAGCAGCTGCAGCCGCAGCTCTCAATGGATTTCCATTGCCTTCAAATATTTTCAATAGTTTAAATCCATTTTTTAATAATTCAACTTTGAAAAATTCAAAATCATTTCTAGATACAAAATTATTCGATATGAAATTAAGTGAACAATTATTAATGAATAAAATGCTCAATAAATCAGATAGTCATTGTTCAATGGAAGAGAAAAAACTCAGTGATCAATCGAAATTATCATTTACAATGTCATCAAATCAAGATATTTTATCAAATACTACTACTACTAATAATAATAATAATAATTTAATGAATTTCGCATCATTCAACTCATCAACATTTCCAGTTTCGTCTCAATTAGCTAATGCATTAGTTGCTGCAGCTACATTTCACTCGAAACATCCTTCTTCACTCATATCACCACAGACATCGCTGAATTCATCCTCATCACCGTCAACATCATCAGCGGCGGCGGTAGCAGCCGCGGTTGCTGGAGCATTAGGCACACTTTCAAATATCAATCTAAGCAATGCTGCAATGTCACTAGGATCATTCACGACGACGATGACGGCAACAACAACAACAGCAACGTCTATGTCGTCGACAGCAGCAGCGACAATAACAGCCACATCATCAACACCAGGGTTCTCGTCATCTTGTAATGTGAACAGCAATTCTTCGCCAAATGACTTGATGAATTTAAATATATGGAATGATGTTCACATTCCAACTAAATTAAATAATCATGATAATAATAATAATAATAACAATAATATGCAAATTCCGTTAAAACAAAGTCAAACTATGTTGAATGAACAAACAAATCCATTTCATTCAGTTGATACTAGTTTGTTTGGAGTAAATAATTGGTTACCGAGTGCTTTACATAATTTACCAACAATGGATCAAGGTAACTTATTGATATTGATTTTCAATTATAAAGTTATTTATTTAACTCTTCAGTTAGATTTTATGGAGATTAGTGATTTTTTGCACATCTGAAATCATCAGTCAATCAATGATTGTTAGACCACCATTAGAAACCTGGAAGCACTGGACGGCCGTTTCGTCCTGGTATGAGACTTATCATCACAGTGCATCCACGACTCATGCACCTCGCAGGATTCGAACTCGGGACCTTCGGTCTTGCGCATGATGATAATTTTCATGAAAAACTTTTAATTTACTTAAAAATGATAAAAAAGTAATCTCATTCAATTTTTGAAATTTATCAGAACTCTGGTGATAATCGGTAATTTTACTAGAATAAATATAGATTTTGAAATGTCCAACACAGGAACATAACTTGGCCAATTAATTCAATTTTAGGTTGAAATGATTTACAATTGACCATCAGTTTTTCACCGTACTAGGATATTTGTGATATTTCTGATAGATCACTAATGTGAATAAGTGAATAATTCAATTTCTGTCAATATGATAATTTACATTGTATTCTACACCAGATATCGAATGTGCTTGATTTCGAAACAGGAATTTTATTCATGCCAAGATGCATTAGTTGCTTGGAAAATGTGTAATAATGAAATCAATTAATTTGCCCAGAAAATTAGTACATTAAGGGGATTAACACGCATATATATATATAGACATATAAATATATCTGTTATCCTTCTATAAGAGAATGAAATTAAGTCAGTAGGTATAATTTCCAAACACACCCGCTATCATATTTTTCCTTGCTTATTCTTTTTGTACTTCGAAAGAAAATACTTGAAATAAAAAACACTTTAGAAGATTCTTAAAAAAATTCTTTTAATAAGATCACCTCTATCTTTTCAATATCAACAAGTTGGTCTTCTGGGGCCAAAATAATCATACTAGTAGTAATGTCAATTCACTCACTATATATAAATAAATGTATATATATTCACATATATAACATGAAAACAATTCAATAACAAGTGGGTTTACAAGAAGCCACAGGCAGATAGATATTTACTATGATAAGGGAACAAAATTGTTTTGATACAATAATAACAATAATAATAATAATCATTATTATTATTATCCTTATTTTATCGTTCATAATTATAAGCTAATTACTTCTAAGTAGTATGAAAAAAAATCTCACAAAGACAGTCAGTATACACCAATTTTCATATCAAAATAATTTTTAGAAGGCCAGGTTAGTGAGTTTTAACTGGTTAATTAGTTGGTCAGTTTGTTAGAGAACGTGTTGATTAAAAAAAATTGGTGTGCATTGTTTTTCACATCATCTTCGATAAACAACAAAAAAAACAGCATTATTAATAATAATAATAATAACAATAAACATGAATACGAATCACAAAATTCCACAATGGCGTCGATTCGCATTGAATTATTGATAATTGAATAAAAAGAAAGGAAGAAAGAAAGATATACGCAAAAGCACTGAAATCAGATAAATCAGTAGGATTTAGTTTGTTTTGTTTTTTTGCTTATCGGCTAATTATTGGTAATTTTGATTAAAAAATTTAATTTAATGGCAAAGGTTAACTATATATGCTGTTATTGAAGAGGATATGAAAAGTTTCCTGTTATTGTTTTATGAGATTTGTTAGAAAAAAAATGTATATGTATAGATTATCAGAGTTTATCATTTATTTTGTTTATATGGCTCCATAAAATTGGATATTTTTCATTGTTCTATGCCTTGATTCTTGTTTTTTTCTATCATGTAACTAAAAATTACCGTTTAATTGAACTATACTATCTAAAGATGATATTTCTTAGTGTGGGGAGATGGATTGTGCAGATAAGTGAATTGTGTAGTGTGTATAAGTGTGGAGAGTTAAACAATTAAGTACTGGGTAGTAATTTCATTTTTCTTTTGTGTGGTAAAAGATTACCTACATCCAAAATTTGTTCGACTGCTACTCAGGGCTATCTTTGAGAAGTAATTTCTAGAGTACTAGTTTAATGAGAAGTTATGTGATCAGTGGAGTTGAACTAGATCGGGGGCTATGGTAAATACAATACAATCGATTGAAGTTATCAAGTAAACTTTTAAATCCAAATTCTGTGATCTGGATTTTATGAAATCACCTAGAAACCTGTTGATCCTAGATTCAGTTCTTGTTGGTATTATGAAGATCGACTGTCGATCAGTTCTAAGCTACGATGAAATATTTATCTAATATTTTGTGATTTTCAGTGGTTCTCTAATCAAAATTAATCTATGATTTAAAAATTAAAAGAATAGTTAGGTATATTTTGCAGATAGAATGAACATTGTTCTAAATAGGTTTTTGTCTTGTTTTATTTATTTTAAATCGACAACTGAATGTGTACACATCCTTGGTTAATTATATTTCAAAACTTTTGCCTTTTCAACAACTTAAAAGCCAAAAAAAACTCTTCAATGCGAGGTACAGGAGTTGTGGATGTGCACTGCTGATGAGTCCCGTACCAGGACGAAACGACGGTCCAGTGCTTCCAGGTTTCTAATGGTGGTCTAAAAATGATTGATTGATGATTTCAAATGTGTCATCACACTAATCTCCATAACTGTAATTGAAAATTAGGAATATACATCGAATTTTCATATCAATTAACTAAACATCTACAATCAAATATCAAGAGTAATCAGTGATTCAATAAATTACGTAATATAAATCATTATGTTTTTCATTAATTGACTGTTAAATAAGATTGTTTAAATCACATAGCAGTATGAATCAAAATTTTAAAACAGGGAAATTTCTATCTATATTGACGATTGATCTAAATTGCTGATATCAACTTATTTACCGCTTCATACCTTCTATCGATCGTCAATTTAAGGGATGAACAAGATGATAATTTAATTATTTTAATGAGAATTTACTAAAAATCTAACAAAAAAAGAGTTTATTTAATGTTATCTTATTGTTTTTATTTCTTGGCGTATTGATTTAGAATACAACAATAATTCAGAATTGATGCTTTTCAATTCAACTATTCAAAATTTATCGATGAATTCATTGAAATCGAAATATTTCAGTGAAAATCGTTCAAATCCGAATAAACATCCTCACCATCAACATCATCATCATCATCAGAATGCATCATCAAATTCTACACTGACATCAATCAATACAACAACATCAGGATCAACTCATTATCATCCTCATTCAAATCAGATGACAAAACGAAAATATGAAAATCGTCGATTGGATTTAATGAAAACTCGACGAAACAACAACACATCATCATTGTCAACGTCAGCAGTAGCAGCAGCAACAACAACAACAACAGTCAAATCAATCAATCCATCAACTGCCAATTATTCCATTTCCGGCATGAATTCACCAGTTGATGAACATCGTCATGAAAGCAATGGTTATAATTTTTCACGTAATAAAAAACGTGTTCTATGCACCACATGTAAAAAATCATTTTGTGATAAAGGTAATGTTGTCTTTGCGAATCATTTTCAATCATACCTCTACCTTTGTCTTTTTAAATTTATCTCATTGAATTATAGTTCTTGAATAATGATATCTTCAAATCTTAATCTTCTCCATTAGCAGTAATACTTCTACAATACTTCTACCACTATGGGATTTGAATTGACAATTGAGTCTATGTGTTAATGTGGTATGGCAACCAGAACTGATGTACTTACGTACGAAAATCTACGTTGTAACTGATTGACTGACTGATATTGTTATGATAATTTAATTGTGTTTGAGCACCATTCATTTTGCATGTTTGTTTTTTTTGTACGCTACAATTGGAAAGTGAATAAAATCAAAATCACTGACATTGTCGGCCATGATAGAAATGAAAATGTATTTAAGTAATCTAATTAAATATTAACAATATGACAGATAAGTGATCAGTTCAAAAATGATCTATTTCTGTTTTTGAATGGATTTTATTTCAAAGAACAATTTCTGAATTCGATCAGAATCATTCGCGGTATTAAGATCAAGTTGATTGAAGACATACAAACTGATTGCAAACTAACCGCAATATGGATAAAATGGTGGCAGTTTATCGGGTAGCCTGAAAGAGATAAAATTTTTGAAAAAATTAAACGAACAGTTTAAAAATGTTCAACAATCAGGAATATCAGTAGAAATCTTTAATTAATTTCAGTAGACAAATGAAAGGTCTATTCACTGATTAAAAACAATTCTGCCAAATATTTATTTATTATTTATAAAAGAGATGACTAGTTTAAGAACACACATTTATCTTATTAGAAGAATACTATAAGTTATCGTGCTCATTAAATGAGATTAAGAAGATTGTTGAGTTTTATAGTTTACATTACAAACTGATCTTAACTGAACAACCGCTGAAAACTAAGAGACACTGGATAGTTGTTTTGTTCTAGTATGAAGTTTCTCAGCACTGCCCATTCATCAACTTATCGGTAGTTGAACTGAGGACCTTTAGATCCCTAGTCGAATGAAGTCAGTCTATGCTGTAGACCATAAATATAAGTTAAATAGGTTAGAGTAATTGAAATAATCATGGAAAGACTTGATATTTTAGTATCCTGTTTAATTCTATCTCATATAAATTTGCCAATAACATAGTCTGTCAGATAAAATTTTGTAGAGTGATCGCGTAACATTGTTAAATCATTCAACTTTTAATTGTTAAACAGAAAGTTTGAGTCTGTAACACACAATTCATCTTAATTGGTAAAATGTCATGATCAACCTCCATATAAATAGTATTACTCAAAGATGAATACACAAAACCAGTGCTAGATGAATAAATCATTAAAAATTGAAAATGTATCACAAAAAATTTACTATTCTAATAAAAAATCTATTTTTGTTTTTTTGTCTCTTCATTTTAGGAGCACTTAAAATTCATTATAGTGCAGTACATTTAAAAGAAATGCATAAATGTACAATTAAAGGTTGTAGTATGTGGTTTAGTTCACGGCGAAGTCGTAATCGTCATTCAGCTAATCCAAATCCACGTTTACATATGGCACATTCCAGTAAAAAACTTCCAGAAAATGCAACAATTGTTGATGATGGTAGTGGTAAGTAAAATGTTATTTGTTTATTTTATTTTGTAAAACTGAACAACACAATAAAGAATGAACACTATTTCAGTAATATAGAAGTATTAAAATAAATTTTATGGGCACTTTAGATTTTAACTAACTTTATTATAATTTACCACAGTCTAGCAATCAGACAATGTATCATAGTTGAAAAGTTATGTTAATCAATCAATATTATACGAGTCTAAACATTAGTACTAATCTAATTCCATGAATCAAACAGTACAGGATAATATCGAGTCACTTTAACTAACTTTCGAATTATAATTTTGATGGCTGGAATTCAATCAGTAACAAAGACTAAAAATAAATATGATGCCGGTTTCTACTTAGTAAGGTTGGCTGTAGACCGAATAACTCTTTGACTATTAATACTGGCTTATGTAGTTTACAATAGCCTGAGAAACATCATTTCTTTCAAGACAATTTAAATGCTTTATCAATAAACAAGTGCTTGTTAGCATGAAACTTGGGCTCAAGGCTTTCTGAAGAGTTAAAAAATTGCATTGAATTGAAAAATGTCTACTTAAAAACGAAAACAACTAAATATGAACGATTGTGAGAAAAATTAAATTTTTAGTTGAATTACGATTGAATCACAACTAGTGACTTTCAAGATACTGATTTGATTTCCGACTTACAGCTTAAAAATTTAAAAATCAATGGTTCAAATTCTACGTTTAAACAGATTGCCTCGCAAATCCCACTGGAATGGTTTTTCACGTTTACTACTTACAGAAAGAATTAGTAGTATGTTGTTCAGTAATGTGTAAATGTTTTTTTGTTTATTTTACTTTTAAATTTTAATACTGTTACATGTAGTAAATAAAATTGTTTTATTTTCTTTTTGAACATTTCTATTCAGGCAAAGTAATAGGTAGACGTAATCCTTTGCCGAATTCCGTATTAAATCCTCCATTATTACCAGTTATGACAATGACCTCGTCAACAATGAGTGTAAATTCTACACCGTGTAATGAATGGACCAATGAATTCAATGATTCTGTACAAATCAAAGATTTAAGTACAAAATGTAAATCATCCACTAAGAATGCTCATCAAACAACTCGACGTAAACGTGATCGATCCACATTAAGTGATTATATGAATTGGCCAGAATTATCAATGGATTCCATAGATCATACATTAAATAATCAAGAACTTCAAACACATCATTCTTCTCGTTTAAATTGTCGTCAGTCCCATCATCAACATCATCATCATTATAAACAACGTTTGAGCTCATGGAAATATTGTAAAACTGAAGTGAATTCCGATGTTGAACTACATAATAATGATTATTGGAATGAATCAAATTATGTGCAAAGTATTGATTCCAGTGGTAATGATCATAAACACAAGAACAGTAAACAAGATTATCTATCGAGTAATAATAGTGAATTCGAAAGTGAGAATAATCAATCGGATGATGATGACGATGATGATGATGATAACAATAATAATAACAAAAATAACTCTGAGGAAGAAGACGGAGATGAGGATGAAGACGATGATGACGAGGAAGGTATTCTACTACCGGATGGAATTAATTCGTATACAGATGAAAATGATGATTGTATGACAACGACCAATAATTCAGAACATAATTTAGAAATTATGAATAATGATAATAATAATAATAATCATAATGAAAATACTAATGATCATGATGAATTGATTCAGATCGATAATCATGTCGATGATAAGCAAGAACACAATGAGAATTCCAAATCCCACTTAATGATCAAATCAACCTCGTCAATGAGTATGAATAAAATGAATGAATTGAAAATACTCACTGATTCTGATGAAATTCATGAGATTGGATTAGATGAAGAACATTATCCAATGAAGAAACATTCAACTTATTATAAATCGACAACATCTGATTTCTCAGCTGCTTCATTGGCTCAATCACCATGTCATCATCCTATTGATAATAAGGAGAGTTAAAATCAACAGAAACAAATAGATCAGATTTTTCATGACAAAAAATCATGGTTACTGAACACAATTCCTGACAAATTAATGACCTCCTTATAGAAATCATGATGAAATCAATAAGAGTTTAACTTGAACCAATTTATCGACGTAAATTATATGAAACTATTGTCAACGCTTGCCCATCGCATTCTAGTCGATAAAAATAAGGAAAATATTACAATCATGCTGCCAAATATTACTTGTTCAATGGTGGTGTTTTTTCTCCTTTATTTATTATTACTCATTATTGATCTTCATGATTTGTAAATAAATTTACATGATTTCTTTTTTCTTTTCAATCTAATCTGTTATTTAATTTATATTAATATAATGTAATTCGGTTGTAAATTGTGTTACCTTTTTACTTTGCTAGAAACTGAAGAAGTAGGATAAGAATATCACATTTTTAACTGCTGAGCCTTCCTTTCTAGTTTCTATCCTACAATCGGACAGTACTAGAAAGAGAGGCCTAAGACAGAGTAGGTTGAAGAATGCTGATCGGCGGACTGTAATCCATTGGGGGTAACAGGCTTAAGTAAGTAAACAAAAACTGCTGTGCGTTAGTCGAGTTGGTTCAATTTTATAGTCTACATCATGAACTCATTTAAGTTAAATAACTAGTGAAACCTATGAAGTATTGGAGGACAGTTGTTTCATCCTTGTAATGTAAACCGAAAAATTTCACACTGTATTTCTTACTCACTTATAATTAGACAAATTGTGCAGTTTTTCCAAAATAATGAATAAAATTCATTAGAAAACGTTTTAAATAAAGTGTTTTGTGTTTTCATGAGCCTATTAAGTTATTTCAAACTTATTACGAGCTTTCAGGCTTAGGTTTTCAAGACAAATTTTGACAATAGTACTAAAGTCTTTTGGTAAATACGTACAATAGGGATTTTGTTTTGGTTAAATTTAATTTAATTGTGTATGAAGAAGGTAATAATGGGTCACACATTTTCTTCACTCATGATTTTTCGGACTGAACTTTCATCCTCCAAGTTAACATTGGAATCAATAAATGAATTATAAAATATGTGAGAAACATCTTGTTGTATGTTATATGATGTCATATGAAATTTCTCGACTAAGGTATTAGGTTATCTGTATGAAAATTCAATCTCAATGAGATTGATGCTTCCTGCATAATTCAGGTCCACTTCACTTAGTTTCACAAAAAGAGGTATTGTTGTTGGACAATGAGCACATCGAATGACTTCATTTATGACTGAAACATAAGCGTTATTGAATCACAAGTTAATTTCTTCATGAAGCACACGGTTGGCTTAAATCCATAATTTATGACATGATATATAAAATCTGAGAAATATGTTGTTGAAAACATCAAGTGTTTTAAAACATATCTGACCTACATTCAGGTAATTACTATTTTAATTGACAATGGGTAAACGTTAATGAATCAACTTGTTAGTGAATTTATGTAAAGCTTTCAGAATAAAGAGGTTTAAACAAGTTACTAGAAAGTAGTTAAAACTTACTATACGAACACCAACAATGATCTTGCAGAAAAAGAAATTTATATGATTAGCTGTCAAATCTTTCTCTTAACAAAATCTCCATGGATTACCAATCTTCTAAATAAACTGGAATTCTTTTCCCAAAATTTTATGTTTGTAATCATTCTATTGATGATATGACTCAACCGATTACCAGGTTTCTGTTAAAACTGATATGTTTGAACCTATTACGAGTTCACCTTACTCGGTAAGCGGGAAGAAGATCAACGATCAGCAACTCACACAAGTCAAGCTTATTTATACAATGATAGAAACGCCCTTGGTGAGAGCCACAAAATAGCGTACTGAAATAAACCGTCAACCAATGACAGTCAAGGAAGGATCTTCCGAGTGCGAAATGTAAGCTAAAGGTGAACTTAGCACCTCTGGCGCGAAAACATAAGAAATTCAAAATTTCAGAATCAAATTACAAAATTAGGAGTTCTGGTGATCTAACGTCCCCAAGAAAAACATAGTCAATAACCAGTGAACTGAATGACTACTAAGTACAGTTCGAATTTCCTACAGACAACAGATCTGTTCTGCGAAAACAAGAACATTTTCGAATCCTGTTATCAATAAATAGTATGTAATACAGTCTGACAATATATTTAGGGATAAAAATAATAGTCAACATAAAGAATGTAATTGACTAGTTCTCATTACTATGATTATCACGTGAAGTTGAGTGAATATACGGTAAAATTGTGTAATATTTGCTGATTTAATCAGAAAATTTAATAAAATGGATAACAAGTCAACTTCATAATTAACTCTTAATTCCATCGACTGATAAATGATGACCTACTAAATATCAAATCTTGGAGTGATTTTTCGCTTTACATGAAATGCATTGAAGTTCATTTTTGCTTACACATATTCTTTATATAAGTGTATATCCGAATTTCAGTTCACTTATATCACAGATGAGTTAGTAATTCTATTCCTGCGAGTAATCACCAACCTTCATTACACAATTTGTTTAAATATTCAAACTTCCTTAAAGCATATCCACACAATCTTGATCATATTCAATTCACTATAACTAAACTGATTATATCATCATTCATTTACAAAAACTTTTTTTTCAACATATCAGTTTCTGTTAGCAAATAACATCAAGTGACAGATACAGACTTTTTTCATGAAAGATTCTATGCTGAAATGTTAGATTTATTCATCAAATAGGGTTTGATACTTTTGTTAATTGAATACTTCATTCAATCATTTGAACGTTGAATGTGGCTTAGAATAAGGCTCATTATCTGAACGAAAACGTTGCTTATAGTTCGCTTTTCTATACAGCTGTTTAAAAGTTGTTTGATTACAAGTTTAAATAACCTAGATTGTGTCTAAAACTGTCAGTTAATAATTACAAATCATCTGGCTTAGTTTTCAGATACAAAATTATTTGCATATCAAAAAGTGTGATGTAACATAACTCTATAGTTTAGTTACTAGTCTTTTGAAAATCATTTTCAGAAAGCCAAAGTATTACAGCATTTTAAAAATTATAGTTAATTTAACAAAACTCCTTAATATATTACAATTCAAGTCTTTTCGGTGATCAATTCAGAGATCTATAACTTTGTATTTGCAGCTTACAATCATTTTTCAATTAGATAAAAACAAAATATACACTTTTTAATCCAAAAATACAACGATAGATTTTTTGGATTAATTTTCGATGGCATTTAAGTTAGTAAATATTTCCTTTTTGCCGACGAAAATCATTAAGGATGAATTTATTTACTGATACTGAACACAGTGAAAAACAACTTTCGAACGAATACTCTAAATCGAAAAGTGACCAAGGATTGGTCAAAATACTAGTGAAAATCAAAACAGCGTTGACAGGTAATCTGATAACCATTAATCAAAATAAAAAAAGTTATAAATAGTCTGTAAATTGAAATCAAAGCACTAAATTATTGTCAATAAGTGACTTCATTCGGGATAGTAATCTATACTACTCACAAGTATGCAAATCAAGTTATTCGAAAATAATTCACCAGAGTTTTATCAAGTAACACGAAGTTAATAATGTCAATTATTTTCATTTGAATGAGTGTGATGAAGTCATAACTGGCATTATATTAAAAATATTCTACAGCAAAGATTTCAAAAAAGATCCAACTGATCTGATATTTCAGTGAACTGCATTATTTTTTGAATTTTAAAACCTAATAACCTCATTATGCAAGGCTGAACGAATAAAAAGTTAAATTTCAAATGTTCTGTATTCCTCAACTAACAAGAAAGTTCTCAGGAAAGTAAACTTTAATTCATAACTTTTAATAAGCAACTGGTTAGATTATTATTTCAACTCTAATCATTCATTATTTATCAATGTTGAGCAAAAACAATAGTTCGATCAAGACTATTTTGATTTCGATGATATCATTTATTAAAGTTGTTCACTTGTATTTAAAGTGATTTAATAATTCTATAGGTTGATTTAATTCTTGAAAGATATCGTATTATAAAGAGTTTGAAAAATTTTAAACACTAACATTCACTTGCGTAAAATTCTAGAGATTATCGTAAGATGTGAAGAGATGAAAACAATTTATTGATCAAGAATAGGAGAAATAATTGTCCATTGAACAGATGAAAAATAAAATGAAAATGATGTAGATAATAATAACAATTACAAAATAATTATGAAGAATTTTATGAGGATGACAATTACTGTTTATTGATTGAAGGTATACAGTATAAAAATTCAAAACAAAACAATATACAGTAATTAGTGTAAGAACTAGGAAAGAATTAGAGATTGAACGTGTTGCAGATGCACATAGAGTTCATGATCGAACTATTGAGCGACCAAAGTCTCCACAGTGCACAGGTTTTCTGTCTGACTAGTTTAAATGTATAGATTATTTTTTGAAGCAATTCCAGTGCAGTGAAATGATCAGAGTTGATGAGATGTTCCTCTATTGAGCTGATAACTGTTCAGAATTCTTCTTTTAAAAGCCACAGCGAGTACTATCATAAGTTGTGTTCAGAAAGTGTATTTATTGTGTGTCATTGCAATCTACTTAACAGGAACAATTAAAATTATCAACGCATGTTGATTTATTCCAAAGTCGAATCTTATTTTTGACATACTGATACAAAGATCCGAATGAAAAATGTTTTTATTTCAAGATTTCGTAAATCGATTTCTCAGAATCTTCACTACAACATTCCCTTGAAAATCAATATTCATGAACTTTATTTGAAACTATAGACGATCTTTCAGGTTTCTTTCACTGAACCTGAAAAGGTAACCACTGCTGATCAATATTTGTCTTAGCTGAACTTGTTCATTGTCCATCATGTCCTCAGAGCAAAACGGATAGCGGGCGAAGTAAATTCCTATTCCTGCTTAGTAGAATCTAGCTTTAGAAATTAATGCATTGACGATTACATGTTGTTTTTCTGCTCATTTTATTTGCTTCTTTAATAAGTATTACACATATTCACTGTTACCTTATTAATTAATACGGACAGGAAATGGCTAAACAGAAGGTTGATTCACCAAGAACAACTAATGAACTTGATGATAACACAAATTAGGGAATCACATTTATTAGGAATAGAAGTAAGAATTTTACTGTGACTTTTATAAATCTGAGTAAATTATTCTATTCAATACGATATTATTTATTTCTATTGTAGATGTGAATCAATTTAGTAGATGTGAACTTCTTGGTTTGAATTTGCAGAATAATTTCATCCTATAGTTAAATGTAGTTTTGTTTAAACATAAACTGAGATCGATCATAGGTTCACAGCTGCATTCTGTTGGGGATGTTAGATCCCTAGTACTCACTTGATAAAGATCCTAATTTTGAATTTTATGCATTTGCGCATGGGCTGATCAGTTGACCTTGAGATTATATTTCTCACTCGGAAAATGCTTGACTGTCATTGGTTGATGTGTTATTTTTGTACGCTATTTTTGTGGCTCTCCCAAGGACCTTTCTATCATATATAAATAAACTCGATTTGTGTGCTTGAGGACCTCTACGTCTTGTCAAGACTTCTTCCTCTACTTAGTGGGGCCTTGGGACACTCGGATTAGAGTAGCCTATCGTATCACTGTTTTATTTGTCTTCGCTCTCGTTTACCGAGTAAGGTGAACTAGTAACAATTTTAAGCATGTCACCTGACGAGCATAACACATTCACTCAATTTATTAGTATAAAAACGTAAGTTTGTTATCACTTCAAACTTGCTATTCTTTGATCTGATTTGGATCTTTCAGATTATGTTAGTCTTTTCAATTTCTTCAATGATTCATTTTGTGAATAATTTATTTCATTTTAAAAACTGCTGTAAAATGTGCAACCGCGAACAGGTATACACTTGTGTCAAGTTCTATATTACTGACTAGGGCTTACCGATAGACCAGTGCATCAATTGAGTGCAATCAAATGTATTGTAAATGTATGATTATCAAAACGTAAATAAGACAAATTTCATTAGGTTCTATGTATACATTTAACAATGAATGTAACATTACAATTCATTAAAATAAAAAAAATCCAACCAATAGGATTTCAATGTTCCAATCTTAATTCACTTTCAAAGATCAATAATTGTTATATACAGTATCATTAAACAATGATGTAACGTTGATTTAAATAACTGTTGCATTGAATTTACTTCATTTATTCTAAAAAAGGAAAATGAAAAGTTAGACAAAGCATTTTCGATAATTAATAGAAGCTATAAAAAATAAACAGTATAGTAATCTTCATAAAAAGATATTAGGTCCTTATGAAATATGCTTCAACTAGTTTTGGGACATGTTCAGTGAATGTGAATGTGTTCAAGTGTTAATATTCACATTCAGACTCATATTCGACATCAGTCACTTTATGCAGCAACGTGTTATTTAATGAGCAACTGAGCTCAGATAACCATTAATGTATTTGACAGGAATGAAGCTATATAATGCAGGGGTCTACATTTTTCCTCTGTTAATATTAAGGGTTGTAGCTGATCCATCTCTATCAACTTAAGTAGGATAAAACATATGTCTTGGGTCCCATTGTAAATGACATACTAAATATGCCGACAAAGAATGATCAATTGTAATCGACAAGAAATTACAAGCCATTACTAAAGTTACATTATGAAAATGTGCAGCTGTAGTAGAATTGATGTTTTTGATATGAAACAGATTTAAGGCAATGGTCATATACATATAAAGTCATTTCCGTTTATAAGAATTTGCCCAGTCTTACTAGTTGGAAAAATCACAAACTATCATAATCTAAATTTCAATGCATATTTCTATACCACACATTTGCTTTTGACTCTATTTCAAGACTATTAGTAAAAAATAAACTTGTCAGCATCAACACCATTAGCTGGATAACGAACTTGCTAAGTTCTGACCTATCTGGAAGAGAACAGTTTACTGTGCTTGGACGAAATTGTTCAACGTTTTTACGAACTAAAAACAGCATAAAAGGTAGTTTATTTTGGTGTAGGATTTCCCTTTTAATCTCTCTTTGTCTTCAAATGTTTTATTAATATCGAAGAAAGTTTTCTTTTTGACTAATTATGTAAAAAAGCTACATAATTTTAACATTCATAGACATCTATATTTATGATCTGAAAGCTCGAGTATATTACATGTCATTCTTTACTGTTTCCCATTATTACTTTACAGACTTTTGTGAAAAGAATTTGCAGTGTTGTGAAGAGAGTTGAAAGCAGTTAGTAAGGAATTTGGTGAATTTTTAAAGGTCGTTATGAAGATAGTTGTAACTAGACATTGGAAATCTTACAAGTTCTTGGCAAGTGTTATCTTATCCGATACTAACCACCCACTTCATTCAGACCTTTCTTCTTGTATATCTTCTGATAGAATATGATGCCGATACATAAGAATCAATGCACACAAGCAAAAATTTAAAGATCTACAATATCTTATCTGGTGAATAAACTATGCAGCTGGTCTAAGATGACCTATTCAAAAATTTGTCTTCTTAACCAAATGGTTAGTTGGAAATTCATAAAGATTCTCATCTTACTACTAAGAATTTCACCTATTTTTAGGATTTTTAATTTACTGATTCCATTTATTATTGTATGCAGTATATACATGTATGTTTTTCAGTTGTATTCAGCACTTTGCGTTATTCGTCGAGTTCAATCGCCGACAACGAATAGATTCTATTCTCTAATCTAGTTGTTACAAACATTTAAATATAGAGAATAATATCATGGTGTAAAAAGTGCTTTCGCTAATAATCTTACAAAACCACTTCGATCATACTTTAAAGGGTAGACAATTCAAATCTTGTTATAAACCGAAGTTGAATTTTCAATATAAATGTTAAAACAGCCATACTGTCTGGTGTTGAGACCTGGAGAACTACCACAATCATCATCAACAACGTTCAGATTTTTAGAAACAGCTGTTTTCGCAAGGAATTCCAGATCTGTTGACCAGAAACCATCAGGAGCAATACACTTTGACAGAAAACAAAGCAGCTTCTTGCTGAAGAGGAGACTAGAGAAATATACCAGAGTTGAGTCTATCACATCATCAAATTCAATTACAAAGAATGCCGAAACTTGGAATCTCCAAGACAAAAGGAAAAGATATAGACCAAATTATGCATGGGACCAAAAATTCTAGACAGATATTGCGATCTTGAATAGCACTTGACAACAACAGAAAGGTTGAGCCCAGGATAGAGATGATTGGAGATCCCTCGTTGCCAGCCGTCGTATTGTATGGGTCAACAGTTTTATGCGACCGACCTTCTGAAGATATTAACGCATAGTTATAACATATAATCAACTGTAATATATTTAGCCTTATAATAAAATTATATGATTTCAGAAAGAATTATCCATATTTAATATATTCTCTAAGATATTCCAGAATTTAGTTACAATTTTTATTTACCGTGAAGAAAAATATGACAATAAATCAGTTCAGCTTCAAATATGACATGCTCGTGAATTGATATGCTTGAAACTACTGCGATTTCACCTTACACGGTAAACGGAACGAGGATCAACGATACAGTGACACGATAGGCTATTCTAATCCGATTTTGCCAGGCCCAGCTAACTAAATGAAGAAGTCTTGATAAGATGTTGAGGGAAACTTTTCATGGACACTCAGAGAGGTAGAGATTGATGAGCACTCAAATCAGGCTTCTTTATACAATGATAGAAACGCCCTTGGAAAAGCCACAAAAAACATACTAAGAGAATGCATCAACCAATGACATTCAGGGATTTTACGAATGGGAAATGTAAGTTGAAGGTCAACTAAACGTCTTTGGCATGAAAACATAGAAATTCAAAATTTCAGAAATAAATCACAAAGTTAGGACCTTTTCCAAGTGAGCTCTGGGGATAAACGTCCCCAAAAAATGTCAATAATTTCAACTTGGTTTAAACAGTCTTAAATAGTTTCACCCCCTAAATATATGAAGTTAATTGGCTTGACCTTACTGACAATTAGAAGTGTCTACTACTAATGAGGATGACCAGAATAAGTGAAAACATTGACTAAGTTCATTAAAAAAGTGAAATGAAATACAGAAGTGATAAATGATAATTTTAAATTTTAAATATCAAGACTTACGTAAATAATTTGTAACATTATTGTGATTTTAATTATTTTTATCATTATTAATATATTACGTATGTAAACGCGGATTTGGATTAGCTGAATGACGATTACGACTTCGTCTTGAACTGAACCACATATTACATCCATTTATAGTGCATTTATGCATTTCTTTTAAATGTACTGCACTGTGATGAACTTTAAGGGCTCCTATCACGATATAGAAAGATATAAAACGAAAGTTGAAAACAACGAACAATTTGTTTATTTTTGTTGTACTGGTGTTGCTACTGATTAACTTGTAAGTAGCTCAAACGTACATGTAACTTTAATCCTAACAGTATCGAACTAAGTTACTGGGCGAGATCAAGAGAACATTGACCATTTATGTACTGATGTGTAGATACCTTACATTTTGTTCAGACTGGTGGAAACAATCATCTACTTTGAAAAGATAATCATAAAATCGCCAAATTAAGCCATTATATACGAAATGATAATTCAGAAGTAACTAAATCATCGTTAAAACTACAAGTACCTATCAAAATTTTTAATCGAAAGACTAAATTAAATCTCCAAACACCATGGAAAATTCTCCAGTTGTTATACATGGACGCAGTTAGAGGTACTGAAAAGAAGGACTTATCGACTATTGTTTACTTGAGTGAACAGTTTGTTTCATATAGTGTTAGAAGACTTGCTACTTGATAAGAGATCCTTAAAGCGTCATTTATCCTGTGACTGACAATTCTAGTAATTTCATCTTGTTTGAAGGGAAAGTAAAGAAAAAGGTTTTCTTTCTCACTGTATCATAATCAACGCGTTAGTTAGTTCTGGTACATTTCTCAATTAATTTCCGTGGGTATGCATTTTCATGTAGACAAGTTGTAATGAAGGGAAGTTCATCATCCAGGCTTTCTTCAGAACATAGTTCACGACTGCAGTCAAAAGATGTTTGTACAAACTCCTTTTTGTAATTGATCGGACAGAAACTGTTGTAGTTTAGATAAAATTCATCCTATGTATCTTCGAGACAGGTGTGTAGTTGCAGTTTTCTATATGAATTTCACTTCCTTCTAACATCTAAAACATGGAATTTACTTCCTATTTCATGTTCCATAGTAAAATCTACATTAATATGTGCTTTGTTAAATAGAATAAATGGCTACATAGCGCGTTTTGGATTGTTGCAAAACAAGAAACACGCCATCAACATTTCTGCAATAGAATGTAGTTTCTTCCATTGTGTGCTTAAGCCTCGTTTGTTCCAGGTCTCACATAAATATTTCAGCCAGAACTTGGTCCAAGAAGCTACCAATGGCGACTCCATCAGTTTGTCAACACAATACATTTGCAAACTCAAATTGAATACTTTTGGCACACATAAATAAGAGCTGTTCGAATTAGTTGATCGGTCAAGGGGGTAAGTTCAGAGTACTGACAAATATCATTGTCAATTAATTTGTATTGTATTATACATCACTGTTATACTTCGTAACCTATATGGTTGTACGCAGCTGATGAGAAACTACGAAATATAATGAATTTATATAGTTTCGCCTCAACTGTGATATCAATATCCTTAGTCTTCATACTATCATTTCATGTTGATTTTCATCTTAAAATATATAACCATTCACTTGTTGTGTAAGTTGACCTACATCCAATGAGAATTTGTCGGTAACCAGCAACGATGCATAAGTTTTCAGTAAGAACACATAATTTAACCTAGCCTTTAATTTAGAATAACAAAACAGTTTGACAGACAAAAGACCATAATTGTCGGATTTCGGTTTCACTTATATGTTTTTGGACTTCATTTAATTACTGTTTCACCCTTTTCTTATGTTTTTTTGAACTTTGACTTCAAACGGCCTCAATCCTGTTTATGCACAGATATTATTATCACTCTTTGTTACTCTAATTTCTTTCTTCATCAATGTTAAGTACGTCACCTTATATCATATATCAATGTTACACTTTATTATATGTATGATTGTCATTATAAGGTTGTGAAGATTGTATCGCGCTCAAACACTTAATCTCCAGACCACTGAGATGGCATCCAACGGTATGATCCAACACATATGACTGTAACTCGTACAAAATGTTTTAAATACATCTAAATAACTTTTGAATTCTGTTCGAATTGTCGCCAACTAAATGTTAACCTAATCCTCACAATAAAAGGTTATGTCATTATTAGTAGGTAACACTAAAGTCAAGAACATGACTGCGTTTTGTTCCATTACAGACTTTTTGATGGATGCCAATCGAACCTCAGTATTCATATTCACATTGCATTGCTCTAGTTTACTATAGTATAATAATTATCAGTGGATTCAATTCATTCTATCGATTAACCATGTTAAGTAAGTAAGAGTGATGGTAATGCAATGTCACCAGTAGATGGCAGCTAACTCTTACTAAGTTGCTGAATTCGATTCCTGATGAGGTCAGGATGAGTACTGCTGAAAGGTTCCATACTAAAACAAAGGCTATCCAAGGCTTTCTTGGTTTTGAATATTTGTCCAACTTAAGTCACTCTACACTGTAACACTACAAATTAATTATACAATGGAAGAAAAGCAACTGAATTGAATTTACCTTTATCACAAAATGTCTTCTTACAATTTGGACACATAACACGCTTTTTATTTCGTTGTTCACATTCATTCCTTTTGACTGAAGTTTGATTAATTGATATAGACGGATATTTCACTGAACTCTGATCGTTGGTAATAGTAGTAGTAGTACTTATTACTGGTATATTCCTTATTATTTCTTGAGTCGAAACATAATCATCCTCATCAGATTGTTTGATTTGATTTGAATCAATACGTTTGGATAAAGAATCTAGATAAAAGTTATGATTGGACTTGAAGTTTATCATTAAAAGTCGACAGTAAGAATAAATGATTTTAGGCATATTTAACGGAATATTCTCTTCGATAAAATGTATACTGGCTATTTCTTCATTGCTACTATAGTAAATACTAACTACTTCTAAGTCACAAATAATATAAATTTCTCAGAAGCAAGCGAAAAGCTCAAATAATGAAAAGAAATTTTATTATTCTGTTTCTTTTTATTTTTAACTTACTTCAAAGGTTGCAACTCATCAAAGCTTCTCTGTGTTATCATGTTCGATATTAATCTGGTTCAAATAACGAGACTGATAGGCAAATACTGTAACACATATCTAAGGAACTTTCCTAACTCCTTAAGATTTTGTTTATTTACACGAAAACAATTCTAAAGATCGACTGACAACAACTAGAAAATCATTTAAAAAAAAATCAGAGAACACTCCATAAGCTTGTCAAGACTGACTTGTAGTTAATCATATTCCTGGAGACTATTTAAAAAAGAGACTTAATGTGCTAATCAACATAGTATCAAAGTTTTTTCCTTTAAACTCTTATCCAACATGTAAATTCTCCATGAATGATTGTTGAATATTCTGTTTGCAGGTGTAATGTTACTTTTACACTGAGAATATATAATGGTTTGACTGAATACCACGAAAATATGTTAATTTCTCGATCTCATCAACATTCTCCTAGTTTAACAATAACTGTGTTGTAACCAATATTACACTCATCTTGTCTTTAATTATGATCAGATTCTGTAGAACAAGTTAGAATATGATCACCGATCTGTGTGAGTCAATATCAAGTACTTTATGGTCTGATATTAAGTTCTTGAAGAAACTAGGAAACCTTGAACCTAGTTTTCTGATAAATCACATTTATCAAAAAGGTTTGGCGGTAATTTTGAGATTTTATCCATTATGTGAAATTTAAACCCACATTACCTAGCAGCATTGTTTAACATAATCTCTCAGATTTTCTTTACTGATAATTATTAGCTAGCAAGAAACCTAGGTCCAGGGTTTTCTGCCGACTACATATAACTAACACGGAATCGTATAAATAAACTACTTTATTTCACCAAGGGTAATAAACAGAATTTCATTGAATGTTTTTCTCTTGCTTAAAAAAAAGTTTTTTTCCGAAAAAGTTAAAACGTTATGTTACCTTCTTTGCTTAGACCATTTATCAAATAAGTGACAGTGGCATTGTTTAAATTTTTGGTTTGATTAGTTGATTTTCCAGTTTGCTGTTGGTTGTTTAATAGAGTTATTAAAAGGTTACTGTTCCAATTCAGTAAAAGTTCACAATTACCGTTGAATAGTTCATTTATCTTATTCACTGTGTCGTGTCTTTCAAATTGATCATGTTGTGGACGGTTGAGCTGATTACGAACATCACTATGAATCCGGTCATCTGAATAAATATTTATGTGAGAATTTTCAGTTGGAATTGAATTGACTACAGATGAAAATCCAATATACCCAATTTCATTATTATTTTTTAAATTATCAAATATTTCATTTAAACACTGAATGAATATGCCTGAATTGTTGTCATTGTGTTTATTTGTGAGTGAATTTAATAAAATGTCTGAATTGAATAATTGAGCATTTGATAATTTTTCACTTGATATAATCTGAGAAAGTAAAACTTCACAGCATGAAAAAGTATTATTCGTTAATGATACAGAAGATACTGGAACTCGCTTTGCTGCATTATCCTGCATAATCTCTATGTTTGTTAAATTGATCTCTTGAATGAAATCAAGTTGAATAGTTTTTAATAAATCATTAGCTAATGATTTTAAATATGGTAAATGTTTGATTTGGTTTAAAATTATATACTCTTCATCCGGTGTACACATATTCAATATTGATTGTTTGAAATTCTTTCAAAAGGAAAAAGAAAAACGATAAATACACATTTTTTTAATGAATATGCATAAAAAATTTCAAATGCTTTTCTTTTCTACCGTCAATAAGTAGAAACATTTAGCTGGTTTATCAATACATCAATAATTTTCATTTTGAAACAGTAATAGTTTGAAGTAGCCATTTGTAAAACCAGTTATGCTGAATACAACCTTAGAATCACATAAAATCTAAATACAATTCATTCAAATTAATACTCAGTGTATTCTGACTTAACTGGACTTCCTGAAGTCTGTGATGTAAGATCCATTTTTGAGGGCTTTGTTTGTGAAAATCCCTCCATGTATATATTTGTAATATGTCTTTATTGATTCCTTCAGTTGTACATTTTGTTAATCTGTTCGATTCCATTTCTGAGATGATAATATTTGTATTTTAATATAGTTTCTATTTCTTTTGCCTTCACTGAGTTTCTGTGTTTCTTTCTGAACTGCATTCATGTTGTTTAAGCTGATACTTAGTTATGGCCACAGCCATATTGAGTTGTTCCTCTTTCGATTGTGTCGCTTGCTTTGACTGTAATTGTGCATTTTGATTGTGAATTGAAGCACTCTATGTTATAAAGTGACCAAATATTATCTGTCGAGCAAATCTGATCTATCCACAAGGGATAGAATAACATTTATTTGTTGCTGTCGACTTGAATATTTGAACAATTGTTGGTGGAATAACTGATTGGTAATATTTATTTAGGTATTGATGTAAATTTATATTTATTATGAATATTAGAACCGTTATTTACCCTTTGACTGGGCAAGACGTATATCTAACCTACCTAGACAGTTATTCCTCAACCCAAACCTCAGTTTGGATCCTACATAAGAATTGAAAATACAATGAGGTCGACTAGTTTTTTCTCTTCTTAGACAAAACTCACCAATATTATCTAAACAAATATAAACAGAAACTTACATTTATCATGTAACCATGTGTATAATCTGTTAACGACCAATCGAATATTTGTAAAATTTGTTCAAATTGACATTTTGTCGAATAAATCTCATTGAAATAATCTAGCAAAAATTTCATTCGTATTGGAATTAAATGACAACCATATAGAATTAAATTTGTCAATTGATATAGAATGTTAACAATATGCATCCAGTAGTTGATTGTTGATGATGTTGTGATTGCTAATGTGAGTTCATTGAAATGATTGATATGCTTTGAAAAAATTTCTATTGCTTTAAAAGTAAAGAAATGAAATGATACATATAAATAATGATTAGACATTGTAAATAATTCTTCATAAATAACATGGAATAATTAGATTAGATATAAGGCTAATAGTGAAGTTCAGAATAAAATATTACATCATTCTCTTTGTTAACTGTCATCAACTTAATGCATCTACATCTGAATGTTCATGAGCAGATCGCTTTAAACATCGATGGGTTTTCCTGTTGGTAATATGTAAGATTTCGTCCAGTCGATCTCTGTTGATATATGCTGATTCTGAGAGATTTGCTTTCACATCACTTCCGTTTGCAAGTTGTAACAAAGTTGAATGATGCTAAGTGTCAAAATTCAAGACACTAGTTTCATCCTATTTTAGACTTGTCAAATTACACTAATCAAATGTAATCTTCATTATTGACAAAAAAGGAAAGCTCAAATGATAACACGAATCACACTGGACGTTCAACAATTCAATGCATTTAAATGATTATTGCTTCAGGCCGATCAGATTATTCCCAACCCAATCTAAACTTTAAATATATGAAAAGTAGGAATGAACTATTCATTCATCATTTGGAGTACTTGTTGAAAGGACTAATAGCTTGATATAGTTTACTTTAGATAAAAATAATTAAGTTTCTATGATTAATTGAAAAGTGAATGTGTGTAATGTGTGCAAATATCATTCCCAGTGTTCACAAATAAGTCCATTGAGGATAACATAAAGTAGCCGTAGTTTTAAACAGTTTCACATTCACATTCCTAAAAAACTATCCAACTTGTAAGTCAACTCTATTCATAGTTTACTATCATATGTTTGGTTGCAGAAAATCTATATTTATTTCCCGTGTTCATAATTTTTTCTACCGAAGTAACAAATCAGTTAACAAATTATTCAATTCATAATAAACAACTGACTGATTATTATTATTATTATTATTATTATTATTATTATGATACATGATGATTAGTCTTTTTCTAAATATTCGAAATACAGTTGGATAAGACAAAAACAAGATGAAATAATAAAAACCTTGAGTACAATTGCTCAATGTGCACTAATAAGCTCTCATCAATGATCAAGCGTAAGATTTTCAATGTCCACCTCATACACCTCTTGATGTACCGATTACCAATTTAATAAAATAGCTCATTTTTTTATGTCACTCAACGTCATGAAATGTAAAATGTACCTAATCTCCGATCAGATACTTTACAGTCAATTCTAAATTCTTGTTGAAGACATTAAATCCCCAGAATTCACTTGAAAAAGGTCCTAATTTTTTAATTTTATTGTGAATTTTTGAATTTCATTGTTTTCGCGTCAAAGACGCTTTGTTGACTTTCAGCTTACATCTCCCTCGCGGAAAATCCTTGACCGTCATTGATTGATGGAGTATTTGAGTACGCTATTTTGTGGCTCTCACCAAGTGCGTTTTATCAATTATATAAATAAGCTTGAGTTGTGTGCTTGATAGCCTCAACCTTTCTGGATGCCTGTAGAATACATTCTCTACGCCTTATCAAGACTTCTTGTTCTAGTCAGCGAGGCCTGAGACAATCGTATAGAGTAGCCTATCGTGTCACTGCATCGTTGATCTTCGTTCCGTTTACCGAGTAAGGTGAACCGGTAATGGTTTCAAGAAAATCAATTCTATCCTTGTGACAATTTTTTTAATCAGTGGTCAAGGCTCATTCAAATTGAGTTTCAATAGACTGACAAGAACAACAAAAATACTTGCCGATTCAACTTACCATGAAATGTCCATGAATGATTACATTTAGAACAATGTCGAAGACTTGTCAAACATGCTGTGAAACTGTTGCATTTACATAGAATACATTGATAATTGTGACTTTCCATGAAACCGAATAACTGTGAAAACATACAAGTAGATACATTTTCTAAATGTTAAGTTAAATTCATAAAAAGCAACAATTCAATAGACTCTTTTAGTATTAGTTAGTTGATTATTGGAATCAAATCAATAAGATGCGTAATGTAAGAATGTTGTTACAATTGTAAAAATTGAACATGAAACACCAGGAACTAATTTGATTTAAAAAGATCAAAGGACGGAATTATAAATGATGACAGATGCAGACATATTTCACTCACTAAAAACAAGACAAATGCTTTGAATAAACAAACTCATCTAATTAGGTGTTTTTATTCAATCGATAAAATATTTTGTACACATAGTTCAACCAGTTAAATTGTAGAAAAATGAGTTTTTTCCAACAATTTACCTTAAATTTTTACAATGACACGCAACTTAACATTGAAACACTGTTTAGAAAATGAGTAAACATTCTCATAACAGGTTGTAAACATTATTTTCACGTTTTAGAAAATGTAAGAAATAACTATCAAATATTCCTCCTTAAAAAAGCCCTAGTATCTTTCGAGGTAACTTGAGTCGATACTTTTTGTAACAAAAACTTATGAATATACCATCACGGATATAATGTAGCCTTTTATAGGTGGCAGGAAGTCAGTCATTATAACAGAGGATTCATTTATAATAGTCTTGTCTAGATAAGTGTATATTAATCACTATTAAGTGTATTCTAACTAAAAACTAAAAATAATTGGTGAAATTTCTAATATTTATAGAATAGTGCTAAAAGTATTCATAAATGTGTGTCATTTGGTGTGTCATTCAAGGTTAAATTCTCCATGTTCAATACTGAATTAAAATTATTTTTTAAATAAGTATGGAAGCATCTAATTGACAAAGTTTTTCATTTCTTAAGCATTATTATTATTGCTATTACCGTTATGTATATCCAATAAACATACTGATGTCTTATTTACTGTATAAATGAATTAGTGAACAATTAATCTCTACTCCTTAAATTTTTACCTTTAATATGAATAAATAAATAAGCGGATGGGAGATCAATGAAGATGTGTCTGCATTGGTGACAGCTAGCATTACATACTACGATCATATCAAAAAATTTTCGTAGATTTGATCGATTTTGGTTCATTGTCAAATATGAAGCGGGGTTTTTTAAATCTTATTTACATCAGTGTTGTTGTTTATATTAGAACTGGAACCTATTCACTGAGTTTATGAATTAACATGAACAAAAACAGTGAAATGCAACTAAATCCGGCGTATAGTGCAGATAGAACAACACTATAGAGGCTTCTTCAACACTGCGGTGTGCCTGAGAAGATTGTCAACATTATACGGAATTCTGATGACAGATTAAACTGAAAAATCGTGCACGGTGGACAACTAATAGACAACGTTGCTTACTCTCACCCTTTCTCTTTCTCCTGGTGATTGACTAGTTTATGAAGACGTCACCGTCTGGAAAGGAGCACGGGACACAGTGGACAGTCAGGACGCAACTGGACGATCTGAACTACGCAGATGACCTGGCTCTTCTATCGTACACTCAACAACAAATGCAGGAGAAGACAACCAGTGTAGCAGTAGGTCTCAACATAAATAAAGGGGAAAGCAAGATCCTCACATACAACACAACATGCATTAACCAAATCACACTTGATGGAGATGCCTTAAAGGACGTAAAAACCTTTATTTATTTGGGCAGAATCATTGATGGGCAAGGTGGAACTGATGAAGATGTGAAGGCGTGGATAGACAAGGCAGCGGCAACATTTCTACAACTGAACAACATATGGAACTCCAAACAACTATTAACCAACACCAAATTCACACTTTTCTAAAACAAACGTCAAGACAGTTCTACTGTATGGGACGGAAACTTGGAGAACTACTAAAGCCATCCCCTAAAAGATACCAGAGTTTGCTAACAGTTTTCTGAGCAGAATATTTAGGATGCGTTGGTCAGAAACCATCAGCAACAACTGTGGGAGAGAACAAACCAGATTCCAGCCGAGGAGGAATTCAAGAAGAGGCGCTGGAAGTGGATAGGACACACACACTACGGAAAGCATTCAACTGAGTCACAAGACAAACCCTCTTTTGGAACCCTCAAGATCAAAGGAAAAAGGAAGGTGAAGGAACAATTTACGCCGAGAAATAGGGGCATTCATGAGAAGAATGAACAAAATTGGACAGATCTGGAAAGGGAAGCCCAGGACAGAGTAGGTGGGAGAATAATGGCCGGCAGTCTATGCCCCATTGGGGAGGGGGGATAACAGGTGCAATATACAACTAACAATCGTTTTATTTATCACCTATTTGTATTTCAGTGGACATTACAGATTTCTGGTTAGAGTGGTCGTTTATGGACGTAACAACGATCGTAGGTGGTTTACACAGAATTAAATATATATATATATATATATATATATATATATATATAATCTGTCATCAGTGATGTATTTATCAAATTCACGATTTGATTCTATTAAGCAAACACATAGATAGATGTTAGTCTCAACTCTTGCTAAATATTTTGAGAAAGAAGCATCAGTTGTTGTTGCTGTTTCTGTTATCAATACCATTGGACACTTAACATAATGTGTCTTTTAATCCATTCGTTGTCACCATTTGAAATTCACTTAATGTGCGCTAGCTTATGTATTTATATGCACGCTTAAGATTGTCACTTAATAGATTCAAACAAAAAGACACGTTTAAGTCATTCTACCTTTTTTATCAACTTCTCTGTATAAGTGAATAAAACAGCTAATTCTTTTTCAAATTGTATTTCGTAAATTTAGCTTCGGCTTTTTCAAGAAGGACAAATTTGTATAACATGATGAAGTATGTTAGTCAGTCTTATTATGTTTGGCGACAATTTTTGTTTGAATGCTGTCTACAGGTCAATGTTCAATTATTTGGTTGACTTACTTAAACAGATAATAATGACATGTACCTTGATGAAATTGATGATGACGCTTATGACAAGGATGATGTTGATGAAGTGAAAGCTTTTAAAAAGGGGAGAAAAAGTGATAAAGAAGAAAGTCAGAATGGTTTAAGTTTCCCATTCCTATCTAGCAGATAAATATATCTAGTGAGTAGGGGAAAAACCTACTACGAAAAACTGGATACAAGGTGAAATAAACAGAACAATGGTCAACAAAGCTTTTTTATTCTCTCTATAAAAAATGTCACATCTATGTGACAAATATTGAAAACAACATAAGTGAACAGTTGGTAAAATAAAAGATTTTCATAAAATTCAAAAATAAGGTTAGAAAAAACCTCTGACAATATCAATTAACGAAAAAAACATTCAAAATCTGTTTCTTTGTAAATAATTCTTTGTCAAATTCCAGCTACTTATTACCAGTGAAGTGTATATCGGTGGCTATAATGATTCAATAGTTTGGTGGATAACATTCACTAGGGTCATGTATCAACGGTGAACAGTAGCAATATTCAGATGTAAAGGAATCGAGGAGATAAACTTTGAAATAAGATTCAGAATAGTGTCCGAATATAACTAACTTTGATTTTAAATTTATTAATTTTTTATACTGAATGTTAACAGAAAATATTATCGTGATATATACATTTGAGAAATGTTTTTTTCATAATATAGTGCAAGATACCCAATAAAAGTTTGCATTCTTATGTTAAAGTCGCATTATTTTTAATATTATTAAATATGCATTATGATAAATCCTTGGAAGCAATCGGTAAATAGCTTATATGGCTTTGGTTTTATACTTTTATGACACTAATCAGTATGGCACATATGAATTACATTGTATAGAATAATACTTTCTTAGACTGTGATAGCTTTGTCTCAAACTACATACTTTAAATAACGAGACAATATCGAAAGCACTGATGCAGAATAACCATCAGATGAACTTGTACTGTAACATTAATTACTCTTGATTTCAACAATGCTAAGGTTAAGAGAAAAAAGAAAAGAGACAGTGATATGGGAAAAAACTAGTTGGTATATAATTTATATGTCCTTGACAATCAGCGACCATGGATGTAGTTAGTTAGTTAGTTACAACGCAGAACTTCGTACGAAAGTACATCAGTTCAGGTTGCCATACCGCATTAGCACAGAGACGCAACTGTCAGTTCAAATCCAATAGTGATAGCGATAGTAGAAGTATTAGCAGTAATAGGGAAGATTAGGGTTCGAAGACAAGATTCTAGAAGCATAATTCAGTGAGATAAATTTAGAAAGAGAAAGGAAGAGGTGAAGAGGAATTCAGAATGTTATAATTTGAGAGAACACTAAGACTGGATGCACCTGCGCCACTGCAAACGATTGTGAGCCTTATCATTCAAGGTATCTAACCATCGGTTACTATCCTATTTCGGACCTCAACCAGGTAGTCTGCATCTACCAACATCACACAGTCCATTTGTCAGTGACGTCATGGATTTGTGTCCGTAAAAGCACACTATGGGAATAACTTTCAGACTGCCAACTTCATTCACGTTTTTCTCCCTGTATATCTTCTTCTGAAAGAACAAGATACCAATACATTAAAATCCATGCACACTAGTGAACGTATAAAAACTATAATATATTTTAGCTACCAAATACACTATGCAACGAACAGTTTGTCTAAATTGACTTATTGAAAAACTAGTATCCTTAAACATCCTGCTAATTAATTGTATAGATTCTCTTCATATTAAAAAAAACATTTCATTTAAACTCCATATAGTTAATTAATTTATTTAGTAAATGTACTTTTGTATGCAGTTATTGTTACTTTTCATTGGTATTGTAAAAGAAACTTGTTGAAATATTCTGTGTTGAGAACTTCATGTTGAACTGGACCTGTAATATTGAATAAAGCGATTATTATTATAGTTATTATTTCTGATCTATGTCCACGAAAAAATTCTTTCTTAAGATGATGAATCAGGTTGAATTCTTCGGAACACAGCACATTTCCCAACAGAATTTAATAAGATTATTGCTACCGAAATG